TGAACATATCTCCTTGCTCGTTTGTGTATAAAATGTTGTGTTTTTGGTGGAAAATCAGTTGCTAGGCATTTTAGGGGGTTGTGCACTGATGAAGGTTCAGTTGTGACAGCTCTGTGTGTGAATTGTGTGAAAATGTTATTTTTTCAAAAGATTTTGAAACTAGACAAACCACTTTTTTATTTTAAAAGAAATTTGAATCATTGACGTATAGCTATATCGCCCTGCGCAGGTTTTTATCCTGTTTTGTAAAATGTTGAGTCTGTGTTCTCTCGATGTTTTGTATAAAGGGCACGTGACCTTCCGTGCTTAGTATACATTCTGAGTAGTGTTGCTATGGCAATTAAGTTATGAAGTTGATTGAAAATTGTGTAGTAATTTTCGGCGCATTGAGTGTATAAAGAGTATCCTCCGTTGTCGGGCATCATTAGATCTAATCACTTAAATTTCTCAGTTTATCCTAGCGCCATAATATCGGCACGACAAAATCATTTCCGTTCATCTTTATAATCATCCATAAACTTCAAAATTGAAACTGAAACGGGAGAAGTTCCATTGGTCAACTGAATAACATTGGAATGTTTCAAACTGTCGTCACTACACTACACTCGCTGCGCTGGTTGGATAACTGCCATTGTTATAAATGTAGGTAAAAGTATAAAGGTAAAAATATTTTCATTTACAAGTAAAAACAAAAAACATATCTCCATCTATGGAAGAAAAACTTTTTTCCACCATGGCTGTATCGACAATAACTTCCAATTCCACAAACATTAATGCTGGTCTAAATCCAATGCAATCAGTTTGTATAACAACTGAATGCATATATAATCACGTCAGAACAGTCAAATGAAAACACACGGAAATTACTATTCTACCACGGACAGACCTCCACGATAAATTCAGTTGAATTGCCATTCGGTAATCTACGTATGTGACACCTTCGCTTAAAAAGAAAGAATGAAAGAGGTATTTAATCATGTTAAAGTATCGTGAAATCGCCTAGTCGATAAACGATTTATCCTGACTGCGTTCAGTCGCCATACTGTATACTTGTATTGAAATTAGTCTAGCGTTAATGTTTAGGAAATTGGAAAGCATTGCCATTTGTTGTGAAATGGTCTATTCTAGAAGCATTGGCGCATTTCCGAGTTGTACTGCTTTGAAATTTGATGGGTAATTTATTGACCCGGCAATTGTACAATATCAGTAAATGTTAGTCTCATCAGTGCTCAATTTCTAGCTATTATATTAACGCTTCAATATACGCTATTACTACTAAAAATGTCATATCCACCCTTGGACATCTATCAAAGACACATCGTAAATACAACTATTCATATATAGACTAAAACACTCTAAATATCTCTCATGTTCACTTCAACTACATAATATAAAAATATCATGAATATTATCGCACAGTATTCACGGAGATCAACCCAACGATTGGCGAAACCACTTAATTTCAGAATGTATACTTAGTAATGGTTGTGAAAATTAAAATGAAAAATTATGACACTTTCTGACTATCATGACGAAAACAAAAATGTTTATTTTATCATGATTAATTCAGTGTTTTTGCCATGGATAATCTCCTGATCTGTCAGCTTAGCTAAAAAATAACACTATATTATTATTTTCTCATGTCAACATATCGTGGCATCGCTTAGTCGATAAATAGCTTATCATATTTCAGTCAGTCT